AGGTCACATTTCTTTAATGTGTTTTATGAACCTTAGTAAAAGATTTAAGCTTATATCTACCAAATGATCTCAATCTATAGAATCTGCAATGCTGAAGCAAGAAAATATATCTGGAATTCTACACAGAGGAAGATCCAACAAACTAAGCCTCTGAAATGGGAGATGGATTAGGTTTCTGTCTAACAGGTTCTTTAATGGCCTTGATCATATAATTTGATCAAGGCAATGCCTTGGACACTAGAATATTGCTACTATGCGGAAAGTTTAGTTTCAAAGTGGGTATGACTTTCAGCATTGACAGGAGATAGTGGACCTTACAGTTTCCAATGGAATGCTGGGTTTTCACTTGTACTCTTGCTAGTTCATGAACCACAGTACCATAGAGAAAAGAAGGTCGAGTTATAACCTTAATACTGTCAGTAACCAGCTAGGTGACCATGGGCAAGTTAATTCACTTTTCCAGGTACTGATTTCCTCTCCATTAACAGAGAGGTTTGGACTAGATCAGTTCTGAAACTTTCGATTTCTGTATTTTTGACTTCCCAGCCCAACCCCACCTCAACATTTAAGATATAAAAAAAGAGGTTGCTTCCCTAAATTTAGGACCTATCTCTCCTCCATTTCTTGAGCTTGGCCAGGAAAGTGACTTATTCTTTAGCATATGACTGACATCATCATTCAAAATCCATCGCAAGCTCTTAAGGGCAGCTAAACTTCTCCACTGTGGCCCCTAATCTGATGGTGACAGCATTATGGAGGAAATGATTTCTCCTAACCCAAACCAACTGAGCTGTGACTGCAGGCAGAACAATTTCATGAAGATAATGGGGGAGATTCCTGTGGCTCCTGTTAATCACCAACACTTCATGATGCACTGATGTGCTAATAAGTACAGTCATACTTAATCAGGGCAGACAGCCACATCCTCCTGGGGCTGGGAGAAAATGACAGGAGCGGGTCAGCTACTCCACTGGAGAGGTCAAGAGACCACACAGAGGCTTCACAGGAGTCAAAAGGCCTTGCAAACGAATACTGTCATTATATCCCCTAAGGAGGAGAAACAGGAAAGCCATGTTATCAGGAAATGTCTCCAATGTTCTGGGCAAGGAAAAGACCCTCTCCTACCCTTCCTTTCTGGCACTAGTCTGAAGAGTGCTGGGACCTCCCCACCACAACCCTGGTGATCCTTCCCAGTCACACAAAACTTGTTTCCTGAAGACCATCTCACTCCACATATAAAAAACAGCATCCCCGAGATGCCTTTCATCTTATTTAGTGGCTAGAGAAACTCAAATCCAGAGAGACTCATGTATCTCTTATGAACTTTGTGTAACAGAGTTAAGTGGCCAAAGCTCTGGACTAGGAAGCAGGAAGCTAGGTTTTTATCTCAGTGGCAATGTTGACTCACTGTGTGACCAATGGTAACTTACATCCCTGGGCCCTTTCTTTCTCCCACTGTAAAATAGAGTCAATATTGACCAAACAAAGATACTAAGAGAAAAAAAGGAAAATCTATGTCAAAGAGACTTGGGCCGTTCAGAGTTAAGGAGCTCTTCATACCCCAGTAACAATTACAGTAGAATCTGGTTACAAGTAGGTCTTGGAGAACAAAGCTACTCCTCAGTTATGCAACTTCCTGATGAAGATAATATAATGCAGTGGTTAAAAAGATGAGCTCCAGAGTCAGACTTTCTGGGTTCATTTCTGACTCCACCACTCATTATGAATTATGTCGCTTAAGTCTCCATTTTCCCATCCATAAGATGAAGAGAATGACGGTCCTTATACCTCAGAGGGCTGCTGAGGGAATGAAGTAAGATAATTCATATAAAGAGTCTAGAACAGTCATGAGCACATAGCAAGTAACCAAAACTGATTGGGTATCATTTGACTTAATATAAGGCTAAAACTTGGAAAATCTAGACTAACAGATGAATAGCTGGTAGTATGTTATCTTCCTGCAATATTCTGCTATCTAACTTCTGATGAAAGCCCAACTGAAAAAAATCAGCTCAAGATTAAAGTTCCCAAGATGAGAACCACATTGGCTATATAGGTGACTAAAGGAAGATCCATAGGTATAGAATAACAACTGTGCTGGGAGCGAGGTACAGGGAGGTCCTCTACCAGGCAAGCTGAGACACCTGACCCATGTTCTCTCCCAACAGAAGAGACAATCCTGTTCCCCCATGGTGAACTGTAAGGTAAGGATGACCCACATGAGAAGCCTGTCATGGGAAATGTGCCATGAGTACCCACTCGGGACGTGATGTGACATGAACAGCAATAACCAAGCCTTGACCTAGCAAGGAGCTCATACAAGGTTTTTCTATGCTATAATCAACACGAGGGCTCTGGAGAACACCCAGGTCCGCTGGCTTCCAGTCAAGAGACCACCATACTGACCTCCAGCAACCCAGAAACATCCCTGCAAGACACTTATACTCAGAGTATTTAGTCCTTTCCCCCTCGCCTCTTAAGTATTCCTATCATGTGCCAATTAAAACTCCTTCCCAAGCTAACTATTACCTCTCCAAACCAGAAGGGCTTTACAAGAAAGTAAATCACCAGATCTGGAGACTAACCAGGATAAGCATGCAAAACCTCGCAGACGTGTTCCCCACCCCTCCCCAACTGTGCTTCCTTTGCTGAACGATTAATTAATTCACTTCTCTTTCCTGGCTTGGAAGCTAGCCCTTCCACCTATAGTTCAGCGGCCATGGGGCTCACAGCCCAGGCTGTCTGGAAACAATTCCTTCAGTTGCATGGCTACAGGCCAGCAAAGGGCCTGAGAACCAGTTACAGTCTCAGTAGGTGAGGGTAAAAGGGATATAGAAAGTAAAAGAGCCAGAGATCAGGATTAGCTCTGAGAGCTATGAAACATGGAAAACACTGATATGATAGGGAACCAGATGACTACTCCTTTGTCATTGGGTAATAAAAACTTAATTCTGTCCTTCGCTTCAAGATCAAAGTTCCAATGGGCATTGTTCTTAGACTCAGGTTTTGGCGGAAGAACTGGACGACCCCACTGAGTTTGCATTGCCACACTAGATCGGATGGCAAAGCAAATATAACCATCGCCTTTACCTAGGTTTCCTGCTCAAAATCCTTTTGTTCTGCATGTCTCCCTGATTCTAGCCAATGCCTATTCATGGGACCTTGGGCAAGTCACTTAATCTCTCTGAGCCTCAATTTAAATGTACTTATCCGTAAAATTGGGCATGAAAATTACCTGTCTTAACTTCATGTAGGTTTCTGCAAGGATCAAGTAAGATTAAATATTAAAGCACTTTGTAAATTAAAATGTGCCATTTGTAACTTTAATAAATTCCAAGGTCCACAGGGTCCAGTCTCTGGACAAAACTAAAGTCAGATGTAAAGTAGAACACTCAAAATGAATTAAAGGGAATCCTAGTCTTCAGTTGTATCTGTCAAAGACCATTACAGACGATCCAATTCATAAGTCTCAGGAACACTTTGTATTTCCTTTCCTCTCCTCCCTAGATCCACTACACCTCAAAGCCACACAAGTGCTTTTCACTCTTCCAAGCCCTGAATTCTCATCTCCAGCCCCTCTGGTTTTTCTTTCTCTCCCTTTCCTTCCTACTCTTTCTATCAGTTCTGTAATATGCAGCTCAACTTCACCCCACTTTCACTTTTTTCCTCTCAACTGTACTATCATCTAAAAGTGAAATCGGGCAACTTGCCCCTTTTTCCTTCTACCTTTCCAGTTCTAGCTCTTTCCATCCAATTCCATGAATTGCATTAAAAAGCTTGGGAATAGGTGGGTAAGGGCACAAATCTCCTTAGAGGAAGAGGCTAAATCAGCAAAGTATAATTCTCTTTATGGAGCTAGGGTGGGGAACAGGACACATATAATAGTAAATCTTGACCCTGTCACGTTTTCATTCTTATTATCCCCACTTGGCAAGGTACCTACAAATCTATTAAAGATGTCTTACGGCGTAAGATGCATTAAGATATCACATAGCATCAAAGAAGGGACAAGCAGGAGAGAATTTCGAAGGAGTCCTCATAGAAAGCCAGGGTTAGTGGTTTATGTCTAGAATGGTTGGGACCTTACCATTGCACACCTGTAAGGGACCTTTCAGACACAAATAGTGCTTTCCAAAGTCACCTCTATAGTAAAGTAGTTCCCAGGATATTAACACTTATACATGGAAAAAATATGATTCCACGGCCAATTCAGTTTGAGAAATGCTGCGTTAAAGGGATTTCTCTGACTTTAGGACTTCCCAGCACATTTAAGTTGAATAATTTTAACATGAAACATTTTGGATGGCAAGTGTTTTACAGGATACATTTTAAGAAATGCTGGTTTTGACTCTCCTCCTCATTTTACAGACAAGGAAACTGAGACCCATGGGGGATACTGACCCTCATTAACATCATTCAGAGTTCCGGGGCAGAAGAGGGGCTAGAGCCCACGTCTCCAAACCCCAGTTTTGTGTGTTAGACTCCTGGAGGAATGACAGAGAGGAAGCATGCCTCTACAGAACTGCAGAAGTTGCATTTACTCAAGCATCAAGGTTACTATACATTAAGGATGGTTGCAAAATTATCATCCAGGACAAGCAACATCACAAAATCTAACTAGATCCCACATGGCATGTTTGTAGGCCGCTGAACAGTGTACAGAATTATGACGAAGGGTCACCTTAGCTAGCGGCAATCTTCTTTTCTACCGCACATCAAGGTGAGCACCACTCCTGGAGCTGTCTGCCTGCTCCTGTTGCACAGCCCTTAACCAATGGTCAAGATCTCTCCAGTTGTCCGCATAAAACTATGTACAAAGTTCAAATGAAACTAAAAGAGAATTGCATTATACAGAAGCAATAACAGACTAGTGAGAGAGTTCCCCTATGTCTTGCACTAAAATAGCCACCTCCAAATCTTGCCTATCAACAGGGAGATGGGTCAATGTTAGGGGCAATCTGGTTCCATCAGAGGAAAATAGGAGACGACAGCCCCTTTACCTTCTTCTTGGATTTAAAGACGTTACACCTGAAGATATTGCTGGCACCATCTCGAGCGATATAGCTGAAGATCTTCAAGTCTTGGGAATCGTGAGAGACGTAGAAGATCCTACAGGAAGAACAACAGAAAAATGCACTGAAAATGGCATTAGGTTCAAATCTCCAATGAGGAAACCTCTGTGTAAGGACACTCTACAGACAGAGCTCACTCAAGTCAAGTCCTTAGAGAAAGCTTTCTTCCTATGAAAGCCACAATGCAGGAGGCACTTTCCATGGGCTCCACAAACACTGACATTCCAGTGAGTGACCTCCAGATGTGAAAGGGTGGACACAGGTAGGACATGGACCCCACGCTATCACTAGTAAATCTGTCCTGGCAACTTGTACGTTAGACGGAAAAAAGCAATCCCATCCTTATCAGAGCAATAAATCTGCATCTAAGCCAGGGAAATGTGGGGAGCTTTCCTAATACCTGTTCACAGTTACCTCCAAATGAGGAGACTTAGGGAACCAGCAATGCTAACCACATTGGGAGACACTCTGTTTCATTATTGTAAGTCCCTCGGTGATAGTGACTTCACTTTCTGTCCCACTCCATCAAGTCCACAGCTTCCATGTATTCATTCCATCAGTCAACCAATCCCCTTGAGTGCACACCGTGGGCCAGGCACTATCCCAGCAGCCAGAGGAACAAGCAACAGAACATATAAAGCCCCTGAACTCATGGAGCTCATGTTCAGGAGATATCAATAAACAAATAGAAAATGAGTGCCATGAAGAAAAATAAGGGACAGAACATGACAGAGCTGCTATTTTAGACAGGGTGGTTAGCAGGAAGGCCTCAAAGAGAGGCAAAGACCTAATGATGTGAGGGTGCCAGTCACTGGACTACGTGGGCAAAAAGCAGTGCAGAAAGTGGGAACAGCAAGTTTCAAAGCCAGGTGGTGTTTATAAGACGCTCTAAGCATTCAAGGAATGGCCAGAAGGTCAGCGTGGCTCAAGTCAAAGGAGTATGGTCAGTGACAGGATCAGAGAAGCAATCAAAGGCCAGAACACAGGAGACCTTGAAGGTCAGGGGTTGTACTCCAAGTGAGACAAGAAGCCATTAGAGGCTTCTGAGCAGAGGATTGACTTCCTGATGCTTTAGACTAAAGAATCCCTCTGGCTGCTGTGGGTGGGCGGTGGGGGTAGAGGCAGAGGAAAGGCCAGGAAAAGGGGAAAATTATAAGCAGGGCCCTAATGGCTGACTCTTAGGTGGCCCTAGGACAGGGTACCACCAGAGCCATCAAGTCTGAGTGCTGTCAACATGGGGCAGGGGAGGGGAGTATCAGGGATACTGATTTGAGCACTGAGGAGAGTGTTGCTCTTGATAAACACCCTGGGGACACATGATTTCCCCCCAGAATCTTTTCCTTAATGAAAACAAAACTTTTCCATCCCAGGATTTCACAGGCCTGGTATGTCTGAGTCAGTCTTTCTGTGCAGCACAGAGAGAACAGGATTTAGAGTCATATCCACAACGGTGCCCCTTACCATAAGGTAAGCCAGGGAACCCTCAGAGGCTCAGTTTTCTTATCTGTAAAATGGGACTTTTAATAGTAACACCTTGCAGTGTTACTGGGAAGATGAAATGAGTAAAGTGTTTTTTACTTCTCCTTACCGATATCGCCTCTAAGTAGCCTTTTTACTGAGATTCTTACCAAGGACCCCAAGAAGTCTGAGAGGGACTTTCAAAACAGAAGTGATACAGAGAGGCGAACAATCCCCAGAAGAAATCCAAGCTCACCGTGGGGACCAAAGCTTCTCTGCTGAACTCTGCTAAAAGTCATTTCAGTTCATCTCACGTGTCCACCAACTCTGAACGATGCTGAAACAGACGTTATTGTGTTTGTTTAACGTGGCTTCTAAGAAAGCTAATCTAACATTATCGGGCCCGCACCACAGAGTACCCGATCCTTCTAATGATGCCAAAGTGTCCACCTAACACGGAAGGGACAAGCCAACAACTGCACCTCAGCATCTCCTGCCTGAGCTCCAGGCCCACCCAGCCAGTCTTTCTGGACACACACCCCTGATCTTCTCTCAAGCTTCAAATTCCTCACGTTCCCCAACTAAATTAATCATCTCCCCTGTAATTCTCAGGCAAACATGGCCTTCCTTCTCCCAAGCCCTCTCTCGATGATAGGCGCCATGTCCACTCAAGCCAGAAACCTGGGCAACACCTTTGACTCCTTCCTCCCTTGTTCTCCAATATCTGTCACTCATGACCAAGTTCTCTGCAGCCCACCTCCTTGACATGGCTCTGAAATATACTTTTTCCTTCAGTTCCACAGTACTGCCTTAATCCACAGGTCCTACCGTTCACCTGGAATTTTGCAACTCACCTAGTGTCTCTCTGCTTCCTACCTCACCTACTGCCAAGCCACTCTCTATATAGCTAGCAAAGTAGTATTTTTGAAAACACAAACTACATCCTAGTATTTCCTTCTAAAAACCATTCAAAGGTTTCCTACTGCCCTCAGACCAAGTCCAAACTCCTCAGCATGGAGTATCTATGTTTCTGCTTTCATCTCTCTCCAGGAGCCTGACCTACAGAGCCCTTCAGAACCAGGTGCATACATCTGCCTGCCTTTGCAACTGCTGTGACACCTCTGGCATCCTTGAAGACTTGATTCAGAGAAGCGTTCCCTGCCCACCTTGCCCCCAAGTCTGGGTTGCTGAATGTCCCTGGGTTCACCTTTACCATAGCACGTTATCTCACACTATGATGTTTATTTTTATATTTATTTTTATTTTTTTGGAATTTAATTTTATTTATACAGCAGGTTCTTATTAGTTATCTATTTTATACATATTACTGTATATATGTCAATCCCAATCTCCCAATTCATCCCACCACCCCGCCCCTCCCCTTTCCCATGCTGGTGTCCATACGTTTGTTCTCTACATCTGTGTCACTATTTCTGCCTTGCAAACCGGTTCGTCTGTACCATTTTGCTAGATTACACATATATGCGTTAATATACGATATATGTTTTCCTCTTTCTGACTTACTTCACTCTATGACAGTCTCTAGGTCCATCCACGTCTCTACAAATGACCCAATTTCATTCCTTTTTATGGCTGAGTAATATTCCATTCTATATATGTACCAAATCTTCTTTATCCATTCATCTGTCTAGGGGCATTTAGGTTGCTTCCATAACCTGGCTATTGTAAGTAGTACTGCAATGAACACTGGGGTGCATGTGTCTTTTTGAATTATGGTTTTCTCTGGGTATATGCCCAGTAGTGGGATTGCTGGGTCATATGGTAATTCTATTTTTAGTTTTTTAAGAAACCTCCATACTGTCCTCCATAGTGGCTGGATCAATTTACATTCCCACCAACAGTGCAAGAGGGTTCCCTTTTCTCCACACCCTCTCCAGCATTTGTTATTTGTAGATTTTCTGATGATGCCCATTCTAACTGGTGTGAGGTGATACCTCATTGGCGTTTTGATGTGCATTTCTCTAATAATTAGTGATGTTGAGCAGCTTTTCAGGTGCTTCTTGGCCATCTGTATGTCTTCTTTGGAGAGATGTCTATCTAGGTTTTCTGCCCATTTTTGGACTGGGTTCTTTGTTTTTTTAATATTGAACTACAGGAGCTGTTTATATATTTTGGAGATTAATCCTTTGTCCTTTGATTCATGTGCAAATATTTTCTCCCATTCTGAGGGTTGCCTTTTAGTCTTGTTTATAGTTTCCTTTGCTGTGCAAAAGCTTTGAAGTTTCATTAGGTCCCATTTGTTTATTTTTGTTTTTATTTCCATTACTCCAAGAGATGGGTCAAAAAAGATCCTGCTGTGATTTATGTCACAGAGTGTTCTTCCTGTTTTCCTCTAAGAGTTTTATAGTGTCCGGTCTTACATTTAGGTCTTCAATCCATTTTGAGTTTATTTTTATGTATGGTGTTAGGGAATATTCTAATTTCATTCTTTTAAATTTAGCTGTCCAGAGTTCCCAGCACCCAGCACTTATTGAAGAGACTGCCTTTTCTCCATTGTATATCCTTGCCTCCTTTGTCATATATTAGTTGACCATAGTTGCATGGGTTTATCTCTGGGCTTTCTATCCTGTTCCACTGATGTATATATTTCTGTTTCTGAGCCAGCACCATACTGTCTTGATTACTGTAGCTTTGTAGTACAGTCTGAAGTCCGGGAGCGTGATTCCTCCAGCTCCGTTTTTCTTTCTCAAGATTGCTTTGACTATTCGGGGTCTTTTGTGTTTCCATACAAATTGTGAAATTTTTTGTTCTAGTTCTGTAAAAAATGCCATTGGTAGTTTGATAGGGATTGCATTGAATCTGTAGACTGCTTTGGGTAGTATAGTCATTTTCACAGTATTAATTCTTCCAATCCCAGAACATGGTATATCTCTCCATCTCTTTGTATCATCTTTGATTTCTTTCATCAGTGTCTTATAGATTTCTAAGTACAGGTCTTTTACCTCCTTAGGTAGCTTTATTCCTAGGTATTTTATTCTTTTTGTTGCAATGGTGAATGGGATTATTTCCTTAATTTCGCTTTCTGATCTTTTGTTGCCAGTGTATAGGACTGCAAGAGATTTCTGTGCATTAATTTTGTATCCTGCAACTTTACCAAATTCATTGATTAGCTCTAGTAGTTTTCTGGTGGCATCTTTAGGATTATCTATGTATAGTATAATGTCAACTACAAACAGTGACCGTTTTAATTCTTCTTTTCCAATTTGTATTCCTTTTATTTCTTTCTCTTCTCTGACTGCCATGGCTAGGACTTCCAAAACTATGTTAAATAACAGTGGCAAGAGTGGACACCCTTGTCTTGTTCCTGATCTTAGAGGAAATGCTTTCAGTTTTTCACCATGGAGAGTGATGTTTGCTGTGGGTTTGTCATATATAGCCTTTATGATGTTGAGGTAGCTTCCCTCTATGCCCACTTTCTGGAGAGTATTTTTTTTTATCATAAATGGGTGTTGAATTTTTTCAAAAGCTTTTTCTGTATCTATTGGGATGATCATATGGTTTTTATTTTTCAATTTGTTAATATGGGGTATCACATTGATTGATTTGCATATAGTGAAG